CGGTGGAGAGATTGAGAGAAGATTTGATTTAGGGTATGGGAGTTAGGGTAGGGTTAAATAAATGAATTTATTTTAAATAGATTTTTAAATGAAAATAAATTTTTTTTTTTAATTCCTTTAAATCCTGATTAGTGAAATATCAAACTTAAATCAGGATTTATGAAAATGGATATCTAAAACCAGGTCTAGATGTAATTTCCTCTTTTTTTATTTTTCCAAGTGCACAATTTGGGTAATTTTTTGGGAAAGTTAACAAGGGATAGTTGGGGTGTGTTTGGCGTATTGATTAAAGCCCATGTAGATTCAAAAATGAATTTCTTAATCGGGAATGTTGAGGCGTGTTTGGAGGAGTACTTAGAGCCATGGAATCAATTAATGGATGATAGAAGCAATTTTGTGTTTTTAATTTTTATTACGGACCCGTTCGGTAGGAATTAAAATCAGATTAAAATTGAAAAAATAGCCGTTATTGTTGACTTTTATTAGACGAGTGGGACCCAATAACGGTCATATTTTCAATTTTAATTGGATTTTAATCCCTATCGAACGGGGCCGTCATAAAATGCAGTAATTTTGGTTTAAAAAATATTTAGTAGTATAATTTGAATATTTATTAAAAACAGTGGTGAAATTTCCACTAAACGGATTGTGTTGACTTGGAAAATAGAAACATTTTTACAAGTCGTGCATTTTGATTGTTGTATCGTCTAGACATGTACTTCTTCTACATGCTATCCTCCTCCATAAATCCCACCTCTGGGAATGATTTTAAACCCCAACTTCTGATTCTCAACTAAAATCAAGAAATGATATCCATTGATAAAGTTGTAATCAAAATAAGTAATCATCAAAGATTAATCAATATCATTAAATCATGCAAATATCAAGCACAACCTCGACTAGGCTTGATATATTCTTCATATTAACTTGAGGAAGAACTCCTTTTTAAGTAAAAGACGTGAGATTGCATCAAGAAAGTGTAATTTTAGCCATATGTGGACAATGCAGCACCATTAAGCTTTTGAAGCTGCCGCCAGTTGTAATATCCAAACATCGAAGGCCATAGCATTTCTCGAGTTTCAAGAGCTCGAGAAATTTACAATTCGAAAACAAAAGGTGCATCAAATTCTTCTAAAAACGAGTAAGGATTTTAAATGTACAATCTTGAGAGAAGCAAACACTTGAATAGGTAATTTGCATCTTTCTACATTTCAAACGCTTCATCTCTAGGAGTACAAGCTTTCGTTACGTAAATTCAACCTCACCAAACGCAATTTGAAGAGTGTGCAGGACATATCCACTGTACTTGTTACGTAGATTTTGCGAAATGTTAAGCTATATTGTATTCTTGGCACCAACTATGATTTCGAGGATAATCTGGATATAGACATAAATCAAATGTGTTTAGTCAGACCTAGGCCTTGTTTGAACTTGAGCATGGCTCTTTTTTTATCCGATTAGGCATGGTCCTACCAAGGCTCGTGGTAGCTCCGAACAAGCTTTTTTACATTTTTTTTCAGATAATTAATTTAAAAATTGATAGGTTCGATGACTACCCTTAATTGGCATAGCTTGAACCTAGAGTAGTCGATGTAATAAGTCCTGTCATATTTTTATTGGATGAGTGAAGCCATTTTACATAATGAAGACTTCAAGACAATCATATATATAAGTATGGATTAAGCCAAATGTATAGAGGCCCGGTCCACAGACCTCTTATCGACTCTCACTTGAGGTCGGAACCCACTTGATTAATATACTAGGTAGAATCGGTACATCAGACCCAACAATCAAATCATGATTCCTCGGCATCCAAAGTCTTTTTGTTTCTCTCTCACCATTACAGATGTCGTTGTATAATGATTTGAATGGTTGAGATGATAAAGTGTCGTTATTTAATAAAAGTCTTACCACATGTATACGTAGAATCGAAGTTTTTCTCATTTTACACAAACCAAATTTAGCTACAACTATGTATAAAATTTGAACATGTAATGATTTGAATATTTTTTGTTTGATCTATATTGCGCAAGATTTGGACCCGTATCCCCCTACCTGTGCCATTAGCATAGCGGCACACATGAAAATCGCAACAGGTAGACATTATCTTATCAGAGATTTTTACGCTCTACTTCACAATCATTCGACTGAGATAAAAAGAATCCACAAACCGGCTCCAGAACCACAACCCTGCAAATCAGATTGTGAATCAAGTGCGTTTTCAAACGCTCTTCAACTGAAATTATACAATTACTTATATATATATATACAGAAATGATCTAATGAGCACCGGTGCTCATCTTATCCTAAGCACCAATGAGTTGGCATATTAATTCATTGGTGAATTGAACTCACAAAATCTTTATCCACCAATGAATTAATTTGTCAAATCATCAGTGCTTAGGATAAGATGAGCACCGGTGCTCATTAGATCATTTCTGATCATATATATATGTATGGGTTAAGCCAAATGTATAGAGGCTCGGTCCACAGACCTCTTATCGACTCTCACTTGAGGTCAGGATCCACTTGATTAATATACTAGGTAGAATCGGTACATTAGACCCAACCAATCAAATCATGATTCCTCGGCATCCGAAGTCTTTTTGTTTCTGTCTCACCATTACAGATGTCGTTGTATAATGATTTAAATGGTTGAGATGATAAAGTGTCGTGATTTAATAAAAGTCCTACCACATGTATACGTAGAATTGAAGTTTTTCTCATTTTACACAAGCCAAATTTAGCTACGACTATGTATAAAAATTTGAACATATAATGATTTGAGTTGAGATATTTGTTGTTTGATCTATATTGCGTAAGATTTGGACCCGTATCCCCCTACCTGTGCCACCAGCATAGCGGCACACATGAAAATCGCAACAGGTAGACATTATCTTATCAGAGATTTTTACGCTCTACTTCACAATCATTCGACTGAGATAAAAAGAATCCACATACCGGCTCCAGAACCACAACCCTGCAAGTCAGATTGTGAATCAAATGCGTTTTCAAACGCTCTTCAACTGCTCGATGAAATGTCTAGACGAGATGTTGTATCATTGACAGCTTTGATTGGCAACTTCGCTAGACAAAACCAGCATAAAGAAGCAATAACTTGGTTCTCAACAATGCTTCATTTGAATATCCGACCGAATGAGTACACTTTTGGTACTGTAACTCGTTCATGTGTTCTTTTAAAAGATCTCCACTTAGGCCAGCAGTTTCACGCTTTCGCGAAAAAAATTGGTCTTAATTCCAATGTCTTTGTGGGTAGTGCAATGTTAGATCTCTACGTAAAGTTAAGTAATGTTGGGGATGCTGAAAAGGCATTTAAGGATACGTATGAACCAAATGTGGTTTCTTACACAACTTTGATTCGTGGTTATATTAGAGAAAGGCGGTTAGAAGAAGCTATTCGGATCTTTTGGTCGATGCCTGAGAGAAATGTTGTTTCTTGGAATAATATGATCAGTGGGTGTAGCCAAATAGGATATAATGAAGAAGCAGTAAATTTCTTTGTTGAGATGTTGAGAGAAGGTGTCATGCCTAGTGATTGTACCTTTCCTTGTGCCATGATTGCAGCAGCTAACATTGGAGCACTCGGCATGGGGATGAGTTTTCATGCTTGTGCAGTAAAATTCTTTGGAGGGGTTGGTTTGTTTCTTGCAAATTCTTTGATAAGTTTCTATTCAAAATGTGGAAGCATGGAAAATGGTCTTTTGGTATTCAATAAATTGCGGACAAGAAATGTTGTTTCTTGGAATGCTATAATATGTGGCTATGCGCAGAATGGAAAAGGAAAGGAAGCATTAGAAATGTACAAGAAGTTGAAGTTATCAGGCCTTCAACCGAATGATGTTACCCTTCTTGGTATACTCTTGGCTTGTAACCACGTCGGACTGATTGATGAAGGTTATAAATACTTCAATCAGGCAAGACTTGAGGACCCTACTCAGGTAAAAGCGGAGCACTATGCAAGTGTTGTTGATTTACTGTCTCGTTCTGGGAGGTTTCAAGAAGCAGAGAGATTTATTGATGATTTGCCTTTTGAGCCAGGAATTGGATTTTGGAAGGCATTTCTGGGAGGGTGCCAGATCCATTCAAACTTAGAACTCGGGGAATTTGCAGCCCGGAAAATCTTGGAATTGGATCCTGGAGATGTTTCATCATATGTAATGATTTCAAATGCACATTCTGCTGCTGGAAGATGGCGCAGTGTATTGAAGGTAAGGGAAGAGATGAAGGAGAGAGGACTAAAGAGGATTCCCGGATGCAGTTGGATTGAAATTAAAAGCAAGGTTCATGTGTTCGTTACAGGAGACAAGAGACATGGAGAAAGGGATGAAATTTACAGGGTTTTGAATTTTATCATTGAACTCGTCATGGATAGGCAAGATACGTCTCTTGCAGAATTTTGAATTTAGCCCACCCAATGCACATTGAAGTTCAGAAAATTGCAATTTTATTAGGAGCAAATTCATCAGCAAAATAATCTTTTACCGCATCATTTCTAGCTACTAAAATCATATTTCATTTGATCTTTGACAAATCAAGTTCGGTTAAACAAAGACCAAGAACAATAGATGAGGAAAATGAAAGAGACAGAAATAAAAATGCAAGCCAAAAATCAAAATTTAAGGCTATACAAGATAGCCAGGTCTAATGTTACTCAGCAATAAACCATCTCTGAACATCAAAACGGAATGCAAAAATGAATTTGGTTCTACAAAAGCCTGAATTGCCTAAAGTCCAATCCATCCAAGCATAACCTGAAAACTGAAGAGCCAATTACTTAGATGATCCCAATTTTATTAGCAACATCAAGAGCATCATAATCAGGTGTCAACCTAACATATGCCTTCTTGGTTCCATCTGGCCTGAAAGAGGAGATAACAGAAAAAAGCAGTCAGTCAAAAATTAATAAGCGTCTGAGATTGCAACAAGTGAACGTCTATTTGCACAATACAGGGCAAGCTAAAAAAAATACTTGCATGAAGTGAATGCCAATGCCAGTCACATAGTGATAAGGTAATCAGTTGTACTTATCTATAATGTAGTTAGACTTGCATTTAAAAGATGCACAGTATACATAAACCCGTGATGAATCTATGTCAATTAGATGAAATAGTGGGAGCAAGAGTTGGGATCCAGTCAAGCACTAGAATTTGAGAATAAGATGATACTAATACATGGGTGAAATAAATGTTAAACTTCTCAATACCACTCTAAATATCTAATGATCATCATCAAAAAAACACATTGACAAAAGTAAAAAAACAAAAAAAAGACTAGTGATAGTAAAAAGAAAGAGCAGTTGAATTCCTTTTTACCTGATAAGAGTGTTGACTTTCTTGGTCTGGATGTCATACATTTTCTTGACTGCATCCTTGATCTTTTTCTTGTCAGCACGAATGTCAACAATGAAAACAAGGGTGTTATTATCTTCAATCTTCTTCATTGCAGATTCAGTGGTGAGAGGATATTTCAGAATCTGGTAATGATCAAGTTTATTCCTTGGAGGAGCACTAATTCGTGGGTACTTGGGATTTCTATCCTTCTTCAATGTCTTGGGTCGGTGGAATGTAACTTTTGTAATTATCTTCTTCGACTTCTTCTTAATGGCTGTTGAACCTGACTTCACAGCCTTGGCAGTCTTCAAGGCCTGAGCCTTTGGGTCAGACTTCTTTGTTTGATCAACTACACATGTTAAAATTCAAAACTAAGTAACATAAAGAATGAAGCAGGTGTAGCACTCTAAGAAAGGTTTGAAACAGATAACACCAAAATCAAGAACAGTGTAGACATCCTCTTTTAATCAAATTATCGATCCAATCAAGGTGTCTTATACTCTTTTATGCAGCTATTTACAGGAGGAAAAAAAGGGACTATTCCAAGCATGCTCACATAACTGAACTAAGAATAGAACTCTTCTACAGTCAACATGAATGCTTAAAGTAAATGGCATGTGTGAAAAGAGACTTTAAATCTGAGGAATCTAAACCTTTAACCAAATGAAAATTATAGACAAAAATTCAATATTTCTTATTAACATACATTCGATACCTAGCCTCCGTCTGGCAACCTTTATAAATCAATTTATAAATGGTCAAACTCTATTTTCAACCGCACATTCTGCTATCTACTTATCCACCGATTTGTATATATTTAGAAAATTAAACCGTTTACAAAATCTTTCCAAGCATAGGCTAGTAAGCTCTTAATATTCACTTCATTTATATGCTCTACTTTTTAATAGCTAAAGGAGACAATATTAGTCCGATCATTTAAGATAATGTTAAAGTATTGGACATAATCATTTCATTTTAAAACCAAATCCTCCAATCTTATCAAGTCCCAGCCCCGTAAAGCATCAAGTTTCCCATTACGAAAATCACAAATATACAGAAAAACATAGAACTTCACAAAATGCTTATTGCATAAAAATTAAACTAATCAATAATTTCTACGATGACTGGGCTAATAAGAAAAATAGGCAAAAAAGAGTAACAAAAGTCCAATACGATCCGTAATTTATGAAACTTCAAATTGAATGAAAGAAAAAATGTACCTTTAGCTGGAGCCATTTGGGACCAAATAAACCCTAAACACTAATAAACTCTACCTGTTTACCTACAAAATGAATCAAAAGAATAAGTTAAGATTAGTGTGAGTCTCCATAAATCAAATAAAGCAGGGAATCGGAGGAAGAGAAACCGCAAGAGTGAGACGGGAGAAGAAAACCTTGAAGGCAAGGCGGCCAGCCAATTCTAGGGTTTTTGAGTGAGAAGTTGCAAGCAACTTTTATAGATGAGTGGTGCACGAGGTTTTCACGTGCCTAGTATGTTTTCCTTCAACATTTAAAATATAAATAAATAATACTTATTATTTTATGCCCTTATTTGTGAGGATATCTTCTATATATTAAAAGTGGCTATGTAAGGGAATTTCTTATTTTTAATGGAAAAACTAACGGAATTTGTTGTTTTAACGGACTATGTAACGAAATTTCTTATTTTCAACAGGCAGCTGCACATTCTTTCAGTGTTTTTTATCATAATTTTGTATTCCAGATCATAAGAAAGGTTTGAAACAGATAACACCAAAATCAAGAACAGTGTAGATATCCTCTTTTAATCAAATTATCAATCCAATCAAGGTGTCTTATACTCTTTTATGCAGCTATTTACAGAAGAGGAAAAAAAAGGACTATTCCAAGCATGCTCACATAACTGAACTAAGAATAGAACTCTTCTACAGTCAACATGAATGCTTAAAGTAAATGGCATGTGTGAAAAGAGACTTTAAATCTGAGGAATTTAAACCTTTAACCAAATGAAAATTATAGACAAAAATTCAATATTTCTTATTAACATACAATCGATACCTAGCCTCCGTCTGGCAACCTTTATAAATCAATTTATAAATGGTCAAACTCTATTTTCAATCACAAATTCTGCTATCTACTTATCCACCGATTTGAATATATTTAGAAAATTAAACCGTTTACAAAATCTTTCCAAGCATAGGCTAGTTAGTTCTTAATATTCACTTCATTTATATGCTCTACTTCTTAATAGCTAAAGGAGACAATATTAGTCCGATCATTTAAGATAATGTTAAAGTTTTGGACATAATCATTTCATTTTAAAACCAAATCCTCCAATCTTATCAAGTCCCAGCCCCGTAAAGCATCAAGTTTCCCATTACTAAAATCACAAATATACAGAAAAACATAGAACTTCACAAAATGCATATTGCATAAAAATTAAACTAATCAATAATTTCTACGATAATAATAGGCAAAAAAGAGTAACAAAATTCCAATACGATCCGTAATTTATTAAACTTCAAATTGAATGAAAGAAAAAATGTACCTTTAGCTGGAGCCATTTGGGACCAAAGAAACCCTAAACACTAATAAACTCTACCTGTTTACCTACAAAATGAATCAAAAGAATAAGTTAAGATTAGTGTGAATCTCCATAAATCAAATAAAGCGGGGAATCGGAGGAAGAGAAACCACAGGAGTGAGACGGGAGAAGAAAACCTTGAAGGCAAGGCGGGCAGCCAATTCTAGGGTTTTTGAGTGAGAAGTTGCAAGCAACTTTTATAGATGAGTGGTGCACGAGGATTTCACGTGCCTAGTATGTTTTCCTTCAACATTTAAAATATAAATAAATAATACTTATTATTTTATGCCCTTGTTTGTAGCTTATAATCTTGATAAAAATTTAAGGCAGAATTAATAATTAATTTGATCACATATTTATGAGATTCACAATTTTTTAATTATACATCTCATTAATTTTTTATCAAAATCTACTAAAAATCTAAGCCCCTGTTTGGCCCCATTATTTGACATTTTTTATAGTTGAAAATTTTTGAAATAGTGACTGATGAGAGAATGTGTGATGAAAAAGTAATGAAATATTTTAAATTTGTGTGATTTTATTTGATAAATGTATGGTTGTGATGAAAAAAGAGAAAAATTTGATGTAATGTTTGAAAAACAGAGTTGAATATTGATTTTTAGAAAAATATGTGATTAAAAAGTGGGGAAAAGTTTTAAATTTAGGTGCATAATATTTTAATGTGTGATTGAAAATGAGTACGTAAAAAAAGAGTTTTCAAATAATAGTTGGCAAACAATTGCTTAATTTTACACGAGCGGCAATTTTGTGCACCTCGTTTAAATGTTCCCTTGACTATCAAAATTTCTTTATTTTTGAAGTTAAATTCTAATTGACAATCGTAGTTTAAAGCCCTGTTTGAGCCACGTTCTCATTTTCATTCTTATTCTTATACTCATTTTCAACCGCACGTTTTCATTCATTATTCTTCTACTTATTTTAATTTTGTGTTTTGAATTTTGAATTCATTTTAGGTTTGTGTTTTGAGTGTCAATTTTGAGATTTATGAAAATGCGATCTTTTTACAATTTCAAAAAATTGTATTCAAAAATTAGGAAATGGAAACGTGTTCTCTTCTCTTCCCTTCCTTAGCCTCTCTCTTTCTCTTAAATTGTTGAAAATGTGTTCTTTTTTTAGTTTTGAAAAATTGTTTTGAAAACAGACGCGTTTTAAAAATTTTGGTTTGATTATAACTGAAACACCCAAAACGACAAATTTGTAGTTTTGAGTTTTTTTTGTAAATTTTTAACTTGTTTTCAAAAATGCGTTTTCAAAAATAGGAAAGATAAGAGTCTGTTCTCTTTGCCGTTTTCAAACCGCTTTCTGTTTTCGATTTTTCAAAATAATGAAAACGCGTTCTCTTTCCTATTTTCGAAAACGCATTTTGAAAACAAGTTACAAATTTACAAAGAAAACTCAAAACGGAAAATTTGTTGTTTTGAGTGTTTTCAGTTATAATCAAACCAAAATTTTCGAAACACGTTTTGAGTGTTTTCAATCACTTGAGAGAGAGAGAGAGAGAGAGAGAGGGGGGAGGGGAAAGCAAATAGGTTTTCCATTTTTTTAATTTTTGAAAATAATTTTTTGAAATGTCGAAAATATTTCAACAATCTCAAAATAGACATTCAAAACACAAACTCAAAATGAATTCAAAACTTAAAGCACAGAACTTAAATATAAAGAGAACAGCCCAAAATGCGGTTTGAAAATGGTAAAGAGAATATACTCTTTAAGTTTTAGATAGAATACTTGAATTCTTGTTCTTCTAGTGGTTGCTATCACAATCATAGTTATCAGAATCTGGACAAATCATCGGCTCACCGAATCAATGTTTCAACCAATGGGTCACTGTTAGGCTATAATTCTAATTAAAAAAGTATTTTTAAAACAAAAAGTATAATATATATTTTTCTTTATGACATTGATTTTACTAAACTTAATATATATATTTCGCTTACATAGATGTTCGAGTTTCTAGAAGTGTCGTGATGTCTCGAATCTCTTCTTATGCAAATTTGATATAAAATCTTGATATGGATCAATCTAGTAAAAACAATCGATTCACATTGAACATGTTTTGTTTTGATATGAACTCTTCCAATTTGAACATTCGGACCAGTTTTTGATCAGTTAATTTGCAAATGGACCAAATAAACACATCTGGAAGGATTACTCTCCGGTTCAGCTGTTTATGTCCGGTTCCGATAACTATGATCACAGTCTTTACTCGAATAAAAGCATACATACAAGCATATTCTTATTTGTGAGCAATCAATTTTCTTCAAATTAGACCGTCTCTATGTACTTTACAAGAAGTAATTTTTCCCTTTGTGAGGAAAGACAAACACTTCGTCAATCATGTTTTTAAGTGTATATATACTTGGTCAAATACTTCTCAAACAATGCATGTCTTAATTTTTTTCCTCTTTTGTTGCATCTCGTCTTTTAATATTTGAGTGTTCTATACCAAGAGACTCCATGTTAAGTTTTGAAATCTAATTATTGTCAGTATTTGAGGGTTGGAAGGCGGCAAGGAGCCTCCTCCCGAGGTCCGCTCCTGGACTGAAATTTCATTAAAGACAATTTATGAAATTTCACACATATAATTTCGATTTTACCCTAATTTGTCTTGTAAATAGAGAGTCGTCATTTGCATTTTATCAATACCATCATAAAATGAGTGAAATATTACAAAAGATTGGTGGTGTATTTTTTTCTTATTTTTCATCATAGTGAATTATTGCAACAATGAGAAAAATGGAATGGTCTCACATTGAGTTCCAATCTCACAAAAAATGCAAATTCACAAAGTGTAACCCTTCCGAGCCTAGTGGCTCATAGTGGCACCTGCATAGGTTAATTATTTCATTAATCCATGTGGCAAAGTTTGTATGGTTATCAATTTTTTATACGTGCTTTATCTTTATGGTAAGCGCTGTCTGAAGAACTAAAGAAAAGAGAACAAATAGTTCTTTGAGAATTACTAGAAGGTGTTCTTGAAGTGGAACCAAGTCCAAGAATCTCAGAAATTTTATTGAATGTTCTACTTCCAAACAAGAACAATTAATGGTGAATGACTAGTTTCATTTGAGTTAGACAACCATATGAAGCCCTTGACTTTAGCTTCCTCAATTTCGCTTGTGATATTACTCAATCGATCCACTTGTTATATATTCGAGCTTTCTTGCATACAATCTATAAGAAACGGATAGTGGAAGTTAACTTGAATAATGGTTATTACTAAAAGATATTTTTTTGTGCTATCACAAATTTTCATTTTCTGCCACATCCAACCATTGTTCGCCACATCAGCATATGTGCAAGTAGAAGGATGTAGGTATGGATGAGAATCATATTTGGAAGTTAAATGGCAGATTTGAAACAATTTAAAGTATAGGGGCATAATAGAAACATGGGTGGAAGTTTAGAGACACAAGATAATTTAAGTCAATTTCCTTTAGTCTGTCAAACCCTTAAAACCCATTGTCTCCACCAAATTCCTGCTAAACCCTGTAAACCCTATCGCCATGATCACTACGAACCCTAAAACTGCTAAATTCACCCACGGTCACCTGCCCCGCACCCTTTCACTTCATCCCCACGGCCTAAATTTCTCCAGACCCTTCTCTTGCGTCTCCTTCAGCATCCCCCGTCGACCAATTCCCCATTTATCCTACAAACATATCAAAGCCTCCATATCAAAACCTAGAAACCAGAATAGACAACCAAAGTTCTTCAATTTTCCAATTTTTAACCCAAAAGGGCCAAAATCCATTGTTCAGAATTCACATTTTTCGTTTTTGGGCCCACTAGAAACGACCCTTATTTCCACCATTACTGCTTTCTCTCTCTTGTTTTTCCAGTTTTACTTTACTCACAAACGTGCCATTGCTGCTCCAGTTTTATTGCTGCCCACTGTGGAAACTACTACAAAAGATGCGCCTGCAGATGAAGAAAGAGAGAAATTCCTCGAAGAACAAGTGTTTTCGAATCCATATGACATTAACTCACTCAAGAACTTGTTGGAAATCAAATTCAACTGCAGAAAGTTTCCTGAAGCAATTGGCGTTCTCGACAAGTTAATAGAGCTCGAGCCAGAGGAAACCAAGTGGCTTTTGATGAAAGCCCATTTCTATATTTATCTTGGAGATAATGAGTTGGCGAAATATGCATTCAGTGAATTATTAAAAAAGGACCCTTTTCACGTGGAGGCATACTCCAGGTTGTTGATTGACGCCTCGCAGGAGGAATCTAGCAAGAAACTGGAAGAAATTGAGAAGAGCGTCGAGGAGGTAATGAATGTGTGTAAGAAGAAGAATAAGAAGTTTGAGTTGAGGGAATTCAAGCTGTTGCTAGCGCAAATTCGGGTTATGGAGCGTAGATATGACGAGGCCTTGAAGGTTTATCAGGAGTTGGTGAAGGAGGAGCCCAGGGATTTCAGACCGTATTTGTGTCAGGGCATAATTTATACATTATTAAGGAAAAATGTTGACGCGGAGAAGAATTTTGAGAAGTTTAGGAGATTGGTCCCTAGAGCTCACCTTTATGCCAGGCACTTTGAGGATGACTTGATTGCGGCCAAGATTTTTGGTCAGAAAATGGAGAATGAGAGGGCTGCTGCAAAGGGTTAAAGTTTAATGGTGCCATTCATTTCTTGTGCCCTCTACGGATGATTTATTTTGTCAATGTTTTTTTTTCTCATCGACAGTTGATACTGTCTTTAATATTGGTTTAGAAGTTAGGATTTCATATGATATTTTAGTAATTTGGTGGACATTGATAGAAATTGGAATAATTTGGAAATGATTTTGTGGCTTGGTAGGAAAATAAGGAGTTTTGATTCCTTGAACTATATTGATACTATTTTATGCCAAAATTTATCGACAAAAGGTTGTTAGTTTTATGCTTCTGTGTGATGTTAGGTCATCAGTAATGATATACAGGATGTCAAGGAAGCTGACTTGATTTGGTTACAGGTTTATGAGAAAGACAGAATTATGGTCCATAAAGAGTTCCGACAAAGCTATTACCAGTCTCATTTTCTTTCATAATCCTCTGTTTGGGAAGAATTTACAAACAGTTTTATAAATAGATAGAAATGAACAGTGTATAAGTTGATAGACTTGCGGGTCCATTGGACCATTGGTTGAAATGAAGTTTGATCATTTATAACCTGAGCCTCAACTGTTTAACTAAGTTGAATCAAACTTGACAAAATTACTATGTTCTCATAGTTTTTATGCACATAATGGTTTGTGCCTTGTAGTTGTAGTATTTGTTACAAGCCTGTGTTGCAGTGATTTATTTTCACCTATAAATTAACATCTCGATGTCATGCTATTTTTACTTTGGGGATTAGAGCACCGAATTGCCCCGTGGAATTAGTCGAGGTGCGCGCAAGCTGCCCGGACATCCATGATTATCAAAAAAAAAAAAAGAGCACTGAATCTATGCAGCAAGTCTTGTGCAATTTGGAATGACAGAGCACGAGGTTTTAACAGTAGACTATGTTGTAAGAATATGATCTACTGTCCACTGTTACTTATCTTATGCTGTGTAAAGCTACACACCATTTTGCATTACTGACTTGTCAAACTTCTTCTCATTCTATTTTTTGCTGATGTTCACTCATTAATTTTGTGCTGTCGTGTCTCTAGCACAAGTTTATAGAAAATCAGGCTTAGTAGGTCTATACATTTGTTTAGGCATTTCTGTCTATATACAGCCCTGTTTAGCAAGTGGATTTATGAATCAAATTTGGACTTATACTATCGAAAAAGGAAGTTTTTAAACCGTCATAGAAATGTTCTCTATGTATAGGGGGAGCTAGTAGAGCTTTTTCGTACTGCCTTTCACACTATATTTTCTACTCTAATGGACGGTAATTCAAGCAATACACAGTTCAGCTTAATGACACCTATGCTTGCTCGAACTATGTTTGAATTATTTATACTCGCAGCTACAAAATACCAGTAAGAGGGTGGCTCCAGGGGTATGAGAGATAGACTATGCAAGTTATGTTGCCTACGATTTTTTGCTGGGTTTCAATTTAATATGTCTTTTGCTAGAGTATTGTTAAATATGTTTCCTCTTAGAGACTCTTCGCTAGTTCTTTACATCTCGAATATAGCAATATAGAAACTGCCCGTTACACTGTTAGTATGTTTTCTAGTGGCGTCAAACAGGGCTGGGCTATCCAGTCTCATGTTGGGCGATGAGCTCTCCTACTTTTGAAGGTGTTCTGTGCCACTTTGTCTCTCGACAACCGAGCTGGGCAACACCTCTGATTAGAAACGATCTCCCACCCATAGTTTGTGGGATAAAATATGCCACGTCAACGACAGGCAAAATAACTCCTATTCACTGTGGAGATCGAATAGCACTTATTAGCAACTTCAAACCAATGACAAAAATAAATGTGCAAGAAAGATAAAAACAGTAAAAAGAACACAATGAATTTTCGCCCTAAGGCAAGAGGTTCGGAACAAATCATAATCCCCTTTTGAGCTTTCACCAACCGGAAGAGATCACTATATTAACTAAGAATCAAAATCCGTTCAAAGTTACACCAAGGCACTCAGCAAGAATCACTTAAAATATCTTCACAGGAATGAAATCCTCACTAATTGAAAAGGAATTCCACATAAGGATACAAAATCAGCTCACTACAAATCACTCAAGAGATGTACTCAAGCTATACAACAATCGATTTACAAGAGATTTCAATTTCAGAGTGCAAAACAGAAGAATGACGCAAGAGATAACAGAGAGTTCGAGAGACTGAACAGTCGAGAGAATGAGAGATTAAGCATCCAAGAGTCCAATCCTAGACTTTAAGAGAAGTCTCCAGAAGAGTCACCATCCAACGGATATTAGGACGACACTTGGTGACATCTCCACAGTCCAGATATAAGTAAAACGCATCTAGCTAAAGTGCAAAACCAGAAACACGCTTTCTATCAAAACAGTCTAGCCCAACAGTCATCAATTAAGAACCAGATTCAGCCTAATTAATTAGCAAAGGCCTATCATCATTGTGCCACTATCTCTACAATTTCTACCTTGATACAATGATCTCAGTTTTATCTATAATGATTTCTCCATTATGGCATCATTTGCTCTTCTTACCTGGTACACAAATCAGCAAGTATCAATGTTCAACAACTTTAAACAGT